TATATATATATATATATATATATTTCAACGTGATGGGGCTCGCAGCTCGAGGACAGCTGCAGGCAGATGCGATAGGATCTCCCTAGGAGTGCTTGAGTTCTGAAGAAGGGTAATATGCAGGCGGACACCCTACATTCATGACATCAAAAATTGATGCCAACAATTGCCTCAACACTGGACTGTTTTCAACCACAAGTGTGATAACAGAATGAGCACTTTTGAAGTCTTCATCCTTGTCATTTCTTCTCCATGATTTCATAACATTTTCAAGGCCCAGAAAACATTCAGTGAGGGAGCTTGTGGGCTTGCATACACCATGACATATATTATATGTGGACTCGATTCTTTGTGTTGATAGGATCAACATTTCAAATATGTCTTTGTTGAAGGTTGTAAACCACCTATGTCTTATATTATACAAATCATCTAACCACATGTTACAGTGTAGGTTTCCTTGCTGAATCATTAGAGACCAAGTCTCTTTGAACTCTTCCTCGGAGTCACACTTACTCATGCATTTATAAAAAAGGTTGCTAACACTCTTAATAGAAACTCCACAATACACTTTTGAAGTAATTAGAAGTTTCTTGTAGATATACCACTGACATAAACTATGTCGTGTATGTGGGAGACAATCTTGGATAGTTCTTGTCATTGTCTGATCTTGATCAGTAAAAAATTTAATTGAATGCTTGTCATCCATTACACGAAAGAATGTTTTAAATAAACACTTGAAAGAATCAATATTTTAGTCTGACAAAAACCCAATTCCAAAGAGAACATTTTGTCAATGGTGGTTAACCCACACAAAAGGAGCACAACATAGATTATACTTATCATGTCTGTAGCTTGTATAAAAAAATTATGACATCTCCAAAACTGTCATAATCAAGTTTGGATATGCCATCACTCCAAAAAAAGCTCGTTACTCTGCCATTCTTGTCAGTTTGGAAGTCCCAAGAGAACATGTTATCCTCAGCTTGTCTTTCCATGAACAATTGTAGTAAAGAATTAGCATCATCATGTTCAATTTTATCTCTTCTATCTCCTTGAATAAAATTATATGCATCTCGCTTCATATATTTCATATTCTCTACTTCTCTAACCTCTGTAGCAATGAAGTTAAATGCATTTGTTGCTCTAATCACTGATCCTGTCATGGACCTCAACACATCTGCATTTATCTCGCTTATCTTTCTACCGGAACGCAAAAAATATTTATCCCTAGTTTCTGTCAAGGGGCGGTTATGACTTTCAACAAATTTTTTAACCGTCCAGTTGCTCTCAACATCAATAACATATTGAATCATGGTTTGACAACTAGTCATTGTGTCTGCTTTTATGTACTTCACCGTATTAGTTATCTTTAACTCTCTCCTGTGGCCAGCTTTTCCACATAAATAGTCATTCGTCTTAAGTTTCTTTGAGTTTGATCAAAAACTGGTGTGATCCTTTCAGACAGTGAAACTAATAAGGCGTGCATAGGCACAATAGTTATCATATGCTTCTTGCTCGTTGTGGAGAATGCTCAGAAGAAAATTCTTCACAATTGGATTATTGATAGCATTTCTGGACTCAACAATCTGAAAATTTGCATAATATTAACAAAGTATTAAAAGAAATACCGTAATCATACCACAATAAAACGGGAATAACACCGTTCTTAAGAACCACAATAATATCAGAATAAACACACAATAATACAACAATAACACATCAATATTATTGCCCTCGAGAACATCTTAGAATTATATAAAGGACAAATAATATTACAATAACATCACAATAACCACACCAAAATAACAGAATAACACTATTCATAGGAACATCTGTCTAGAAACATATAGAGTACAAACTAAACCCAAAATAATACCAAAATAATACAAAAATAACACTATACTTCAGAACTTTCATCTTGAAACGTTTAAAAGACAAATAACACTATAATAATACCATAATAACTCCATAATAACATAAAAAATACTCAATTTGAATTGAGGAAACACTAATACATGCATAAGTATTTCACGACTAAATAACCCTAAATCACAAATATAACCGTGTTAACCATTGACGTTTAACATAAACAATGACTTCATGATAATGAACGCATTCCAAGCAAAGCTAAACTCACCTCGGTCTGAAACTCATTGCCATTGTATTGGAAATCCATCATCAATATGTCTTGGTCGAGAGAGGAGTCCATTGTCGCAGCAGCTCGTCGGGATAACAAATGAAAAATGTGCCACCGTAAAGAATAAGAAGCTTCATTCGAATATGGGAAAACGACACCAAAAAAGCGGGAAAGTACATAATATACCTTTTTTCGTCAAAGAAAGTTGGGTCGGGTCGGGCCTCCGCTGCATTTTTTATTTTTTAAATGGTGGGGCCGACACATCCAGGTGTTGGCATTTCATTGTTCTCTGGACCGTCCGGAGAACGGACCGAATAATTTTTCCGCCAGGAGAGCCAGGAGCGAATTAAAATGACGGCCAACCTTTTAAAAAAAACGCGGCCTTCACATTTGATAAAGTTATTTGAGATGCATTTTGAGAAAAGTCGTTTTTTTATTTTTTAACAAATGTGATCGTAGGGCCCATTTTGTGGCACATATTTTTTCACATTTATCCCACTGCTCTCGACCCGAGCCCTGACGTGATCTCACCTCTCTCGTTCTCGTCTCTCTCTAATAACTTCGTTCGATCTTGCCTCCCTCGCTATCGTCTTTCTACAATAGTGTTGTTCACTCTCTAGAGCAACAACACTCTATTCAGCTATGAACAGTATCACGAATGAGAGGAATGGATTGCTTAAACATATATATGTGTATATAGAAAACACAAAACATGATATACAAATAATATAAATAACTTCATTATAATTAAATCGCAGTGCCTTAAATCTAACCACTACATGCCGCATTTTCTTAAATATATTCTTTGAGCTACAATATCATTACAATAATTTACAGTAACACCGCAACAACAATAACATGCTGCAATGATTTTAATAAAACATTACAAAAATTTTTATGTGAGGTGTCTATCTCATTGTTATGTGAGATATGTATTTTATTTTTTACTATTTTGAAATAATTTTTTGTTTCTAAAGTATTAACAATATTGTTATAACAGTTTTGTAGCAAACAACATTATTGTACGGCGGCAGACATGTCATTTATCCACAATCAACTGCAAATAGTTGTTTTACAATAGCATAAATCAAACAATAACCTAGCTTATCTGGATTAGCTGTTTATCAGTAGTTTGTCTAGATCAGTTGCTTATCAGCAGATTATCAATAAACTGTAGCTGCCCCAAACAGACATTTTGGTTGTTCTTATTTTAAAAAAAAAATAAATTAATTAAAAAATAGTATTTTTTTATATTTTATATTTTAAAATTTTTATTTTTAAAATATATATGAATTGCTTTCAAAATATCAAAAATATAGAAATTATGTTTTCAAAAACATATTCTTTACGGTTATACCTTAAAACCTTAAATTAGTTTAATATTCAATTAATACAACCAAATTAAGTTTTTAATCAATAAATTAACCCCTAATCTTTCTTAATTAACCATTAATCAATCAATGAAATTCTTGAAATCACATAACTAATTCAACCGAATAAAAAAATATTGAATTAAACTAATAAGCGTATAATTAATCATTAATTATTTAATTGAAACATAAGTGAATTTAATTAACTCATAATTACTCAAATTAAATAATAAATCATGTTAATTAACTTTATAATGACTAAATTATGCACAAAATAATTTAAATAAAATATAAATTATTTAATTATGTTAATAACTATAAAATTAAAACCATAAATTATATATATATATATATATAATTAAATAAAACATTAAACAGAAGGGCCGGTTTTTAGCCTAAATCCTGCCAAATTCTGAGATCTAGTAAAGCCCAAACCGACGCTGATTTAGGATAAATATTGGCGGCATAATTTAAATAGAATTAAGTTATCAAAAAATAAAAAATTAAATTCAACATTTTGTTAGATCCAAATTTTTCACGTTCCTTCCTTTTTTCATGTATTATGTCTCTTTCATACAGTAAATTCGATTTTAATAAATTTGATTGTAAGTCAGATTTACGAAATTCTTCCATTCTTGCTTACAAACTCATCTGAGTTTAGGGTTTAGTGTCGAGATTTAATAAGTCCTATTTAACTCAAACTCAAGTTCTACTCAGTCGACGGATTTAGTCAATCGAAATGGACAAAGAGAAAGAATGATGCGAACATACCGACCTTCATCGATGAATTTATGATAATAGTGGAGAGGAAGGATGATAAAAATGAGAATTCTAATGGTTTCCAATGAGAGCTCCAATTATATTAATGTTATTGATTAATATTTAATATATAAGTTATACATTATCAATTTAATTCTAATTATATTAATTTATATGTAATTATTTAATTGTTATTTAATCAATAAAACATATTTAAACTTTTAATTTATAATTATTTAATAAAACTGCTAGTAATTCAATTGATATTATTAATAATTAATTAATTTTTAATTATTGTTTAGTAAGTAATCATTAATCAATATCAATGAACCTTTTTATGCATTTTGATATTTTTCACACTCATTTGCTAATATTTTAATTAGTCCTCACGGAAATATAAATTAAAAAATTTTCAAAATCTGGATAATTTAATTTCATTTATGCTTACGTATTTATTCCAATAAATTATGTATCAGTTTTTCAGGGTTTATTAGGAATGGTTTTCACAAAAGCTTAGTCGGTTTAGCTTTTATGTATTTTGGTTTCATTTGATTTGATTAATTTACTAACCGATTTATATAAATTAAATGTTTTAACACATCCTACAAATATTGGGGGATTTGGAGTGCACAAAAAAATGTTTGTTAGATATAGTTCATATGCCATATAAGAGACAGATGCGAGAGCGGAGCGGTGCGGAAAAAAATTTTCAATTGGGAGAGTTTTGTTAAGTGAGTTGGGAGTGCGGTAGCAACGACCCATCGGAATAGTACAAGGTAATTTTATACTTGCAACAAGGGTATATATATATATACTCATCGCTTCAGAGGACGTAGGCATATTGTCGAACCTCGTTAAATCCCTGATTTACTATTCTCGATTCTTGTGATTCTTTATCCTTATTTCTCAACAAGTTCTTTAGTAAAATGGCCACCTCATGATTTTTGCTTTATAACGTCGCAAAGAAAAGTCGCCATGTTTGCGGGCAATTTTGCATGCTGACGTGGCAAAATTATCTCCTCATATAGTAATTTTATCTATTCAAAATGTTTTTTTTAGCCTTTTTTTCTTATATAATAAATTTATAAAAAATGCTTCTTATAAAATTTTGCCTGAATATAATATAAATAATATGGATTATATAACTTATTAAAAAATTATGCATTTAATATTAATTAATTAATTAATTATAAAAGTATGATGTTAGATTATTTAATAAATTACATTAATTAATAAATATATGTTAAAATAATATGTAATTAATAACAAATCCCAAATACTATTGATATTAATTTATAAAAATTTACCATTTGATTTATAATAAATAATGTTATAGTTAATCAATTTTTATCATAATAACAATTCTTGAGAATTTAATAAAGCTATTTTTTGAATAACTCTGCTTATGAATATAAATAAATGAATTGGATCGTGTTCAAGTTGGTTTATTTAACCTTCAAGTTTTTTCAAAAAAATTCAAACTTAATTGTTTATTAAACAAATTTGATCGAGTTTTAACACGAAGCCATTAGAAATTAGAATACCCATAAACATCATGAAAATACGGGATAAGTCTTAAAAAAAAAACTATTACAATAAAAAGGATATTTACATGCACACCACCCAAAATATTAATATTAACAAATTATATAAAAAATGACACTGGAGTTTGCCCCTACAATGAAGTCCTCAAGTTGGCGATATATATATATATATATATATATGTCTATGTGTGTGTTGTGTAGTTATTTTATTATATAATTTGGTGATATAAATAAAAAGTTATTGAAAATTTAAATGATTATTTATTTAATGATATAAAAATGGCTCTTTATTTATAAATATTGCATCTTATCCATGAGTAGGTCTTATGCTTCTCCGCAACCTGCTTCTGTCACAGCACATGACATCAACCACTAAAACAGCTGCCATCGACCCTCCAAGTCCTACACCAAATAATAATCCCAACACAATTTTATAACTTTTGTTCTCTGAAGTTGTGTCATCAATACTTGGAGTTGATGGCACCTTATTATTCACTGTTGGAACTGACGTATTGCAAGGATGCCAACAAAGTCCCTTATTTCCTTCAAATGAAGTGTCTGGGAAAGTGGAGAATTGGCCTCCTGGAGGAATTTCTCCCACCAACTTATTGTAGGAGAGATTTAAAACCGACAAAAAATGTAAAGAAACCAATTCAGTTGGGATTTTACCAGAAAGGCTATTCATTGAGAGATCTAGTGACTCCAGTTGTAACAAATTTCCTAGTTGTGGAGGAATTGTTCCTGTCATGTGATTCTGTGATAAGTTGAGCACTTGGAGAGAGGCAAGTTGACCAATGGATATCGGGATCTCTCCTTCAAAATAATTATTGGAAATATCTATTGACTTTATAATCCTCCAAAAATTTTGTATCTTCAATAGTTGCCCCTTTTCCATAATGGTAAGCACAACAAGAGAATAATAATCATAAAACGAAGTAAGTGCAGAAGATTGTATTACGTCTGTTGTATTTATCATCATCGACTTAAAATCGTTGAAGCATTTTGCACATAAATTGCCACTAAAGTTGTTGGATGAGATGTCAAGAACATTCAATGTCGAAAAAGTATAATTTGTTTTCTGGCTTCCATCAAGAAGCCCAACTAAGCCGTGGAACTTATTAGATCTTAGAATAAGAATCCTTAGCGTGGAAATATTTCCCAACCAATAAGGAAATACAACCTTTAATTTATTGTTACCTAGGTCTAGAAGTTCAAGTGATCGACAATTAGACAGTAATCTCGGAAGCAGTCCCTCCAATTGGTTGTCTCTAAGATTTATAATTTGCAGCATACAATTTTGATTAACTCCATGGGGGATAGCTCCGTGAAGCTGATTTCCTCTCAGATTTAGAATGCGAAGACCACATCCTTCTTCGAATAAACATGATGGAATCGAACCAGTTAACTTGTTATCAGATAAATCAAGCACTATCAAGTTGGTCAAGTTGCAGAAGGATGTTGTGATTGTTGGATTAATTTTGGGACTACAATGTAATTAATAAATGTGTTGGGTCATCATTAAATAAGTCAAAATTATTGTGGTCTAATTTAGAATTAAGTTCATGACTTTGGGCACATTTGTCATGATATTATAGTGTGGATACCATAAGTGCAAATTCTAATTTGATGAGGGGCAGAATTAGAATTAAGCAAAACTTTTTTGTAACCGCCTGGTAGTTATTGTAACCGCCTGGTAGTTACTTCAAAGGGTGATGGTCCCCAATTTGCAGAGAGATACATCCCTTTCTTGCACCCCATCAACAAGAAAATTAAGGAAAATTTGGAAAATCTGCAGATTGGAAGATCATATCTTGCGCAATCGATCTAATGGATTCCGGTACGCTTCCGCTAATCTATGGTTTATTTCTCTCGAAATTGAATGTGAATTTTTTTTTAAGTTCTAACAATTGGTATCAGAGCTAATTCA